GAGGGTATTTTACTCAAAAGAAGATAAAATACTTATGATTTTGTTGATTTTATAATTTCAGTTTAAATGCTACCATTTTGAACACTCTTAATTATTAACGGGAAAGGAGCATGTCTTCACATGAAACCTTAAGACAGCATCAAAGCCAAGTTTTCATGAAGGAGACCGAATGAAGGCAAACTCCCTACTCCTGAGAATATGACATGGTCACTTTCTAGGAGGTAAGAGATTATATGATAAACATTTTTAGTAACTTTGTCAGACAACTATGATGTAAAGGAGTTCCTCCAATTATCTCTGAATAAAAAACATTAAAACATCCTGTTGGTCCTGTGACCCATGTCAGTTTGGCAGGCAACTCATACCCATTTCTAGATGGCGTTTAGAAGAGGCAACCGTGTGTTTATGCAAAGACTAAAGGCCGGATGCACGGAATTCGTGCAAGAGGAGGCGGCTTCCTTCCCCCGTTGCCAGCACCGGCTTCCCTCTGGCCCCCGGGACCGGGCTTCCCTCCAAGCCTGGCTTTACCCAGAAGGTCGTCCGGAAAGACATCTAAAAGGACATAGGTCTAATTAGCATATGATGCTTTTATTATTATAGATTTTCCCCAGGAATCACAATGCTCCACATAAAATTTGTAAAACACACTATGGATTCTGTCAATGTTTGCCTCAAATTTAATTTTTAAATTGAAAATTCAAACTTAGTTTTTAAAAAATCCTACTGGTTAACTCAACATTATATAAAACTGGAAACCAAGACTGTGTTATACAGTATTTCCAGGTTAACATATTTGTGTATTGATTCAAATAAAGCTTCTCATTTCATTGAATAAATGTGAACATCTAATAAATGTGCCATTTATCAGGAAGACTACAACTCTGTATTTTTTTAATTTAATTTGGATGGTACATGTTTCTCATGTAGAACTGAACAAGTGAATGTACTATTGCATACCTATATGAATTATGGTTTTATATTAGAAAAGACAACATAACTGGGATTGATTCCCAATTTCAATTTTGTATTTATAAATGACTGACTTTATAATATTACAAATAATTTCATCTTGCAGATGGCTCAGGCAACCTTTAAAATGGCACACTTACAGTATTTTTTGCATTGTTTTCTAATCAAAAGCATTTTATAGCAATGTTGGCAGAAAAAATATCACGAATGAAAATGCTAATTACTGGATATATGCATAAAAAGTCACAGGTTTTTACGTTCACTTTTAAAGTTTACTCAAATTAAATAAGCATACAGCTGAACTCACACTAAAAAAAAAAAAATGCCAATACCTCAAAAAACTTTATCTCTAAATCAAAACAACAACAATATCCGTAAGTCCAAGACAAGACAAACTCCATTTATTTCAAGGAAGACCCTTAAAACAAAATCCCACCTGTATTGTCCCCTAAAAATTCATTGTTTCAGAACCTAGCCTGAAATCATTTACTGAGTCCACGGAAAATCATTTTCTTTTAATATAATTTTATTGATTTTTTACAGAGAGGATGAGAGAGGAACAGAGAGTTAGAAACATCGATGAGAGAGAATCATCGATCAGCTGCCTCTTGCACACCCCTTACTGGGGATGTGTCCGCAACCACAGTACATGCCCTTGACCGGAATCGAACCCGGGACCTTTCAGTCCGCAGGCCGATGCTCTATCCACTAAGCCAAACCGGTTTCGGCAATTCTCTTTTATTTCTCAAAAGAAATTCCAATTGCCATAGAAGCCCTGAATTCTCAGCAACAGAAGCTCGGTACCTAAGAGGACTGGAAAGAAGGTAAGTTTTAGGACTGAATGTAATCAATGCAAACTGAAAAGCAGCAATTGGGTATTTTCGCCACTTTTTAAGTGCTGATTCCAAAAGATGAAAACAGGATATTAGTTCTGAGCATCCAAAGGGAGCAATCCCAGCCTAAACACAGTTGAATTCCATCCCAGCCAGAACTTACTTTCCTAACACAGAAGAATAAAGCTTTCTCATCTTGGTAAGCTTTCTCATCATGTGTCCTCTGCCACCACTAACTGCAAAACAGAGTCATGTCCAAAACCAGCCCATCCGAATTCAACTGAGGACAGACAGACTCCAGACCGGAGCAAAAGAGCTCCAGTCCCCCCTGGCCTGTGGGCTGCACAGCCTCCCGAGCAAAGCCGGGCCTTGTGGCAATACCTCAGACTTGAAAGGATCTTTAAAAGCTGCACTGGCACTGCTAACTGTGCCAACAGCTCTAGAGCCGGCAGGCATGCCTCCAGTACAGAGTGCGAACGAGGGTGAGGCAGCAGGCTGAGAAGGCAGGAACGCTGGCAGAAGTCTGTTAAGGCATCCTGGCACAGAGTATCAGAGCCTGTTTCAAACATGTGTTCAGGTCGGGGCAACCCCTCTCCCAAACAGCCAGTGGATGCTAGCTGTTCACAGAATATGCCTAAAGAAAAAGTAATGGTCACATAAGAATAATTAGTACTTTAAAAAGCTGTTAGCCAAATGACGGAACATCTGGAGTCAATTAAATTAAGTAGATTTCAATAATCACCTGCAGAACTCAAGGCATCCAAGTCTATCTTCTTTGTGAATATCTTTGTGTAAGCTGTCATTCAAAATCAATGTGAGAAGATGACAGAAACCCTGCTAACATATTGAGGGCAAGAAGTTGTAAAGGAAAAATTCCATGTCTCAATTAAAAGATAGGATTGCAAAAAATAAAATAAAAATAAAAATAAAAAGCTATTGGTAAATTTCTAAGAAACAGGTTTCCATACTGTCTCAGTAGTGCTTATTAAATGACTTTTAAAGGTGTTATTTTTCTTTTAAAAAATAGATAAAAATCAGGCAGCACTTGAAGCAATTCAAAGATATTACCATCCAAACCAATTTGCAGATTCATCTTAGACTTAGAATCCTCATCTTTTAACCTGTGGGCCTACCACAGGGCCTGGCACAGAACAGGCACCTTTTCACTGCATGATTATTTATATTTATAGTTCATCTACGTCATAGGAAGTGCACAAGTCCCAAGACTCTACTTCCAAGGTAATGGAAATAGTAAGAAAATCTCTGAGAAGCAAAGAGGAAGAAAGGTCATTAAGTAGGAGCTTGTGGGAGCTTTTGTGTGGAATGAAATGATGAGGTTGTATCTGTCTCTACAAATTTAAACACCCCTGTCATCACCAAGAAAACCACCACACTGCCTTAGTAAGACTTCTAGCTTACAGGTTCACAGAGAGGGAGAGAACTGAACAAACCAGGAGAACAATTACCCACACGCCGGCCCGTGAAACTGATTTCTCAGAAGCAAAACACCCTGAAAGGAATGAGGATAACTAGAGAAATCAAGATAAGTGTTGCTACACCGGTTAAGTGCGCTCTCTCTCAAAAGTTGAAAATTACTTCATTTCCTTAAAAACTAAAACATTTTTAAGACAACCAATCTAAAAATAAATATAGTTTAAATGTTTAATGGTATCTTTTTAGGTAAACATTCACTTGACACTGGAAAGCATCAACAGGAACAGGAAGTTCTGTTTTTGGAGTAGCTGTTATGGTATGATAATGGAATTTACCCTTTTAAAATCAACAACTAAGTCTTACTATTAGGCCAAACTCCTTTAGGAAATTCAACTATTTTCTGCAGAAGCACTATTGCACCCTTCATCAAAGAGCTTTCACTGGCCCCCTAATTCAGTTATTTTATCTTTTTTCAATGATATAATAGTCAGAAGGTTGCTTGGAGAGAAAAACAAGCTGAAGTCTCAGACAAGGATACAAAGTCATAATTAAAGTGAGAAATAAAATGGAATGAGAGAAGATGCTTTTATCCCATAGCCTGATATTCAAAAGTAAACTATGAAGAGTGCTCCACGGAAATCCCAAATGGCCTACCCAACTCACCAACCACCAGCAGCCCCGGCCGTCCACCTGCCTGCCTGCCTACTGATTCGCTTGGGGCTCGTATCGCTTTAAATACAAATGTTTCTGGAAGCTGAAATACTGAAAATACAATTATTCAAATAAAGGCCCAGGATTCCCCCTCACTTTTTTTTTTAGCTCCTGATGGGCGGTGACGTCAACAGCCTGGACAATTACTTGGTCAGCACCGCCCGGGGCAGGACTTAAGAGACCAGGTTCCCAGCGGCGGGGACGGCGGGGCGACCCCGCGTGCGAGAGGCCGGCCGGGCCGCAGCGGGGCTGCCCGGACCCCGGCGCAGGGCGGCCGCCGACCTTCCCCGCACCGCCCTCCGGCCGCGGCAAGGACAGCACCGCCGGCGCACGGAGCCGCGCCGCGCTCCGCCAGGCCGCTCCAGACAAGTCCCCAGGAACCCCGGGAACCCCAGGAACCCCACAGGAACCCCAGGAACCCCACAGGAACCCCAGGAACCCCAGGAACCCCACAGGAACCCCAGGAACCCCACTGAAACCCCAGGAACCCCACAGGAACCCCACTGAAACCCCAGGAACACCACTGAAACCCCAGGAACCCCACAGGAACCCCAGGAACCCCACAGGAACCCCAGGAACCCCACAGGAACCCCAGGAACCCCACTGAAACCCCAGGAACCCCACTGAAACCCCAGGAACCCCACAGGAACCCCAGGAACCCCACAGGAACCCCAGGAACCCCACAGGAACCCCTCAGGAACCCCCCAGGAACGCCAGGAACCCCACTGTAACCCCACAGGAACCCCAGGAACCCCCCAGAAACCCCCCCGGAACCCCCAGGAGCCCCAGGAACCCCACTGAAACCCCAGGAACCCCCCAGGAACGCCAGGAACCCCACTGTAACCCCACAGGAACCCCAGGAACCCCACTGTAACCCCACAGAAACCCCACAGGAACCCCACTGAAACCCCAGGAACCCCACAGGAACCCCACAGGAACCCCCCAGCGCCCGGTGCACCGCCCAGGACCTGTCAGGCCCGGCCCGGCCCGACCTGGCGCCCTTCATGCCCGCGGCCCGGCTGCGCGGCTGGGCCGGGCGGAGCGGCTACCAACCTGTCGGTGGTCGTGGGCTGTGTGCCGCTCATTGGGGCCCGTGGCGAGGTCCTCCCTTATCCAACGGGCATTTTACGGGGGCGCCGCCGCCTCGCCGCCGCTCGGGGCCCAGGCCCGACTCCGAGAGGGACACGGTCCGCTCCGCGCGGCCTGCCGGCATCGAGGGCGGCGGCAGGGTCGGGGCGGCGGGAGCCCGAGAGATGGCCCCGAACCAGGCCGCCCCACAAGCCGAGGCGGAGGCGGAGGCCGCCGGGAGAGGCGCCGCCGGGAGAGCAAGTTCTAGGGCCGCGCGGGGGGAGGAGCCGCCGGGCGCCGTCTCTATCGGGGGCCGCCGGGCGCTCGGGGCCGCAGCCTCCGCCGCCTCTCGGGCCGCCGGGCGCCGGGCTGGCGCGGCCCCATGTCCCGGCCGGGTCACTGTGCTTCCTCGCCGCCCCCACAGCCTCGGGCGCGGACGCGGTCCCGGCGCCGGTGACAGCAGCCCGGCCTCAGCGCCGCGGCCCCCCGCCCATCGCCCCGCGGCCGGCTCTTCCGCGGGCGCGGCCCCGCCCCGTCGGCTGGGCGGCGGCCCGAGGCGGCGGAGCGGAGCGTCCGGCCTGCGCGCGGCGGCCCTCGGTCGCGGCCGCCTCCCAAGTGCAGGCCTCGCGGGAGCTCGCGCAGCGGGCGGAGGAGGCCGCGGCGGCGGGGCGGGCGGGCTTCCGGTTCCGGTTCTGCCTCCGCCGCGTCCAGCGCGAGCCGGCCCCGCCCCGCCCCGCTGACCGAGGCCTCCGCCCAGACTCGGGGCGCCCGCCCCGGCCCGCCGCGCCGAGCCGAGCCGGGGGCGGGCCAGTTCCTGGGCGCTGCCCCGGGTTCGGGCGGAGCAGCCCCGGCCCGCAGCCGTGCGCTCCGCGGAGGGGCGGCCCGGCTCCCGCCTCCGGGGACGCGCGCCCACGGCTTCTATGGGCGGGCGCGACCTCCCGGCCGGAGCCGCGCCGTCCTCCCCGGAAGGCGCCCCACAGGAGGGGCTGGACCTCCGGCACCTGCCGGCCTCCGGGCCGTCCGCCGCGGGCGGCTTGCGGGCCGAGCTGCGCAGGGCTGGGGAGAAAGAAAGCCGGAGTCAGGATTTCTCAGTAAAAGTCTGACTTTGGGCTGCTGCTTTGGCAAAGTGAAATGCATCATTTGCCCAATTAAGAAAACGACCCAAGCTTGCTGCGGAACAAAGGACGGGAGAAGAGAAAGGAGATTTATCAGGCACATAGCCATAGTTGGGGGGCCGGTCCTGTTTCCCCGCCCCTTTCCGGGTAGATTTCCATAGCCATCTAGTTTTGTGATTCCATAATTAGGTATGGTAACCATTTAAGTAACTGAACCCCATTCAATATAGTTCCTTTTCGTTCCATTGATAGACATCTAAAGTAGTTATAGTTTTATCAAAGTTTTCAAACTTATGAATTTAAACTTGTGCTGATGGGTATGGGACCTCAACCTTTTTGTGGAAATAAAGTGACCAAGGAGATACAGTAAACACGATGTGGAGACGAGAAATAATGACCTCTTAACAAGGCTGTTTCTAAGTCAATACCCACAGTTCATGAAAGAAAAGATCATTATTCCAGAATAGATGTCTGAACTAAGGCTGAAATTAGGGTAATGAACTGTGATCATTATTTCTTACTAGAGGCCCAGTACACAAAATTCATGCAGGGAGGAGGGTCTGCTCAGCCCAGCCTGCACCCACTCCAATCCTGGACCCCTCAGGGGATGTCTGACTGCCAGTTTAGGCCTGATCCCAGAGATCTGGATATCCTTCTCACATTCCTAGACCGCTGGCTCCTAATCCCTCACCTGCCTGCCTGCCTCATTGCCCCTAACTCCCCCACCCCCTCCCACAGGTCTGATCTCCCCTCACTGCCTCTGCATGCTGGCCTGATCACTCCTAACTACCCCCTGCTGACTTGATCACTCCCAATTGCCCCTCCTGCCAACATGGTCACCCCATGCAGCCTACTTGTTCAGTCGTTTTGCCATCCCTCACTAACCTCCCTGCAGGACTGGTCTCCCCACACAGCCCGCTTATTCATTCGTTTAGTCATTCCATACTAACTCCCCCTGCTGGCCTGGTCGTAGACAGCATCTTTGTGAGGGTATGAGAGTTAATTTGCATATTACCTCTTTATTATGTAGGATTACTAGAGGCCCAGTGCACGAAATTTGTGCACTGGGTGGAGGGGGAGTCCTTCAGCCCAGCCTGCCCCCTCTCACAGACTGGGATCCCTCCGGGGATGTCCTACTGACAGGGAGCAGGCCTAAGCCGCAGTCTGGCCTTCCTCTGCAGGAGATGACCAGGCTGATAAGGGGAAGGCACCAGCCCCATCACCCACTGCTGCTGCCACTGATACAGCCACCAAGGTGTTTCATCAACACGGACTCCAGTCCCTTCACCATGAAAAAATGACAACTTTCTTTAGGCATTTTCAGGATGTGTCTTTCATAGGATATGTATTTCTTTTTTTCTTTTTCTTTTTTAATATATTTTATTGATTTTGTACAGAGAGGAAGGGAGAGAGATAGAGAGTCAGAAACGTCGATGAGAGAGAGTCATCGATCAGCTGCCTCTTGCACACCCCCTACTGGAGATATGCCCGCAACCAGGGTACATGCCCTTGACCAGAATCGAACCCGGGACCTTTCAGTCCCCAAGCCGACGCTCTATCCACTGAGCCAAACTGGTCCCGGCCATAGGATATGTATTTCTTTCTTTATTTATTCTTACCCTCACCTGAGGATATGTTTCCATTGACTTTTAGAGAGCTTGGGAGAGGGAAAGACAGAGAGGAACATCAGTGTGAGAGAGACACTTCGATTGGTGGTCTCCTGCATGAGCCCTGACCTGGGCCCCGGCCAGGAAGGAGCCTGCAACCTAGTACATGCCCTTGATCAGAATCGAACCCAGACCCTGTGGTCATCAGGCCGAGGTTCTATCCACTGAGTCAAACTGGCCAGGACAGGATATGACATTTCTTAGCCCCTCCAGGAGTGAGGTGGAAAAACCCTAGCTCACCTCCTTGGGTTCTTATTACTCAAGTTACCAAGAACACTGTGAGAGGCAGCTTACAGGAAGCTTAGCCAATGGGCCTTCAGAAAAGGTGTTTCCTCTGCATGCATGTGCAGAGCACCCCTTGCATGTGTCCGCAGGGCTCTGTCCACTGAGCTGGGGGTGCCCCTGGCCCCCGCATTGTGGCTTGGGGAATGCCCCCAGCCCTGCGGCTCTGCTTTCTGTCAGCCGGCCTTCTGTTCGCTGGGGTGTACCCAGAGCCACACCCCCGGCCCAGCAGCCTAGTATTTTGTCAGCAGCCCTCCCTCCGCAGCCTGGGCGTGGGACACTAGCATCATTACCATGGCCAGCGCCCCGCCCTGGTGCTATGACGCCACCATATTTGTAGCAAAGTGATGGTTAATTTGCATATTGCTCTTTTATTAGATAGGATTATATAGGACTAGAGGCCCAGTGCACAAAATTTGTGCACATTAAAAGGGAATTAATTAGAGGAAATATTTTAATATTGCTGTTTGTCCTTTCTCTATAATAGAAGTGTCAGAGATGAAAGAAAATTAGTAAAATGTATATGAAAATCTTCCTCCTGTCAGAGTCTGGGGCACGCTGCAGGACCCAGAGTCAAGTCCCCGCCCACCCGTGGTGCCTCAAAATTATGCAACACCGAGACCCAGCCATCCCACCCCCACTGGGTAAGAACCAGACCTGGCTGGTCCCACCCCTGTCAAGCCCCGCTGAGTAGGGGGTGCGGCCTCAGGTCCCCTGGCCTGGCACCAGGAGAGGGGCACAGTCTCAGGTCCCCCATTAAGCCCTGCTGGGCAGGGGGCACAGCCTTAGGTCCTTCAGCACACCCTTAGGTGCCTGGCCCAGCACCAGGGAGGGGAGTACAACCTGTAGGCCCCCTGCCTGAAGCTGGGGTGGAGACTGTGACCTGAGGTCCCTGGCTTAATGCGGGGGCATGGGGGAAAACCTGAGGCTCCCTGTCAACCCCTACCAGGTGGAGGGCACAGGCTCAGGTCTCCTGCCCCAGCCCAGTACCATGCAGCCATCCCACCCCCATTGGGTAAGAACCAGACCTGGCTGGTCCCACCCGTTAAGCCCCGCTGAGTAGGGGGTGCGGCCTCAGGTCCCCTGGCCTGGCACCAGGAGAGGGGCACAGTCTCAGGTCCCTTAGGTCCCTGCTGATTGCTCCTTAAGGCTTGTTATAAGAACTTGGCCTCCACTGTGGGTGCAGCCATCTTGTGTTATAGAAACCCTCCCTCCACTGTGGGTGCTGCCATCTTTGTGATGGTCTGATGGTCAATTTGCATATCCCTCTTTATTAGATAGAACTAGAGGCCCAATGAAGAATTTGTGCACCTGTGGGTCCCTCTACCTGGCCTGTAGAAACCAGCTCTCTGACATCCGCTGAGGGGTCCCAGTTTGAAAGAGGGCGCAGGTAGGGCTGAGGGACCCCACCTGTACATAATCAGGATGGGGGAGGGACTGTAAGAGAGCTCCAGGGAATGGCCAGCCCCTCTTGCTCAGTCCTGATTGGTTGGACTCCAACAGCAAGCTAACTACTGGTGGGAGCATCTGGCCCCTGGTAATCAGGGCAGGTCATAGTGACTGGTTGACTATCTGCCCCCCTGGTGGGCAGTGCATGTCATAGCAAGCAGTTGAGTGATCTTACATCATTAGCATATTATGCTTTGATTGGCTGAACAGCTGACTAGTTGATCAGACACTTAGCATATTAGGCTTTTATTATATAGGACAAAATTCATGCACTTGGGGCAGGTGTCCCTCAGTCCAGCCTGCACCCTCTTCAATCTGGAACCCCTCAGGGATGTCTGACTGCCAATTTAGGCCTAATCCCACAGAAATCAAGCCTAAAACAGCAGTTGGACATCTCTCTCACAATCCAGGACTGCTGGCTCCCAACTGCTCACCTGCCTGCCTGCCTGATTGCCTCTAACTGTTTCTGCCTGCCAGCCTGATCACCCCCTAACCACTCCCCTG